AGGGAGGGGAGAGGAAGGACACAGGACAGATATGTGCTGCTTCTGAGGGACACAGAGTCTTTGGGCTTTCCTGGAGGCCTGGTGCATGTCAGGGAGGAGGGTAGACCTGGTGAAGGGCTGTGGACCTCCATCAGCCCAGGGTCTTGGACTGCTCTTGGGGAGGCAGCAGCACCCTGCACACTTTCGCTGGAGGATTGGTGTCTGGGAAATCCTCCTTGGCCTTGGGATGAGACTGAGGATCATAGCCTTAAGGAAAGAGGGTCACAGAAAGTGGTGATGGTGAGTTGAGAATTCTGAACTGTTGGAACTAGAAGGGACCTTAGATTGTGCAGCCCAACTGTGTTGTGTTATTGCTCTTGTCATATTCTCTTCCCTGTAGGAAATGAAGGCCCGGAGGGGAAGGTGTTTGCCCTAGTGTACCTTCACTAGATCCAGTTCCCATATTAATTGGACTGTATTCTGGCAGCCCCTTGATCACTGCCTGATTGCCAAGACTCTGGTGTGAAGCCCTAGTCTCCCCACTGGGGAGGGTGCTGGAGTGGGCTCCCTGAGTGCACACTGTCCAGAACAGGGCTGGGTCGCTTCTGGTGGGAGAGCTGACAGTTACCTGTTTTGTTTTGTTTTTTAAGACTTCATATTTTTGGAGCAGTTTTAGTTTCACAGCATTACTAAGAGGCAGGCACATAGATTTCCTGCCTCCAACATGCACAGCCTCCCTATTATCAGCACTCCCTGCAGAGTGGTGTGTTTATTAGTGTTGCAGACTTCTGTGTGGACACATCATCATCATCCAGTTCCCTGTCATTTGCACTTGGGTTCACTGTTAGTGTTGTACATTCTCTGGGTTTGAACAGAAGTATAATGACATGGGCTGGGGATGTGGCTCAAGCGGTAACGCACTCGCCTGGCATGCGCGGAGCACTGGCTTTGATCCTCAGCACCACATAAAATAAAATAAAGAAGTTATGTTCACCAGAAACTGAAAAATAAATATTTAAAAAAAAGAAGCATAACGACGTGTCCACCTTTAGCGTATCATACACAGTCGTTTCACTGTCCCAAAAGTCTAACCTGATCAGTGATGGATGGGCCTGGGGCCACAGTTTTCCCAACCTCAAAATTGATGGGGAGGACTGGAGGTCATTGTAAGATGAGAATGTGGACAGAGTTTGCTTTAGTCTGCAGTGTGATTTCATGGCTGTGTGCTTCCTGTCATCCTTGAATGAAATCGCAAGATCTTACTCTTTACAGTCGCAGGAAGTGAGACTCAGATGACTCCCAGTCTTTCATGAGCACAGCACTGTGGTTCGTGGGTTTCTGGGAGCCATGTCTTCACTAGCTAAGGTGTTAGACCTGCTGTCTGTTGGACTGGGGCCAGCAGTCAGAGGTTATTTGCAGGTTGCCAGAAGTTAAGTAGAAATCCCAACCCAGCTTACTGAGAGGCTAGAGATCCTGGGATGCTCCATTAAAAGAGGGAGTGGTTGGGAAGAAGTCATGGCTGCTAGATCAGCTGGACACAGGTGAGGGGGTGCCCCGGCCTTCTGCTAAGCACCTATTTGCTAAATACTGAGCTGCATACTATATATTCATTATTGTTATTTTTGAAGTTTTATTATAAAACAAATAATGTTCCTTGTTAAATAAATCATCAGGAAGAAGAAAGTGAAAACTCTCCTCCAACCATGCTCATAGTTTAATTATTTTGATCTTATACCAGGTAGGTTGTTTTATTTCTGTTTTGCAGATGAGGCAACTGAAGCTCAGAAAAGGTGGGTGACTGGTCCAGTGTCCCACAACATGCAGGGTAGACAGAGTAGGACTAGTGGGTTGAGGCCCCCGGGGCAACATCTGAGAAGGGCTCTCTCGGGGCCCTTGCACCTGAGCGCGTCATTCAATATGGCATCCTGAACCCCTCACTCTGCCTCTCCCTGTCCCCTGCCTTGGTTGGACCCTCTCTTCCTGATTCAAAGGCCACATTGTCTCCAGCATGCTGGTCCCTTCTCTTCCCTTGACTTGCTGCCAGCTTCCAAGGCTTGGGTCTCCTCCGATCCTGCAGCCAGCATTAAGACCGCACCCAGTTTCTGTCTAGTCCAGACGACTCCTCTCGCACACAAGGAAACAAAGCGACAGTCAATATGCTGAGAGTGGGTGGCAGAAAAGTCACCAGGACAGGCCCCTTGGAGTTCCTTTTCCAAGCTCTCTGTGGTATGTGGCCAAGGGGGTGACGCTGGCCATGCCAGCCTCCTGCTCTGCTGTAGTCCCTTGTGCACTGAATGATTCTGAGGAAGTCTGTGCCTCCTGGTGGTGGATGGATTGGGACATTCCCACTCACCTCCGTCATCCTGAGATGACTCCCCTCTCTGGGTTTCTATCTGCCCAGCATCATCTTGGAACTGCCGCTGGCCAGCTAGCTCTGAGGTCAGGAGGCCTGGAAATTCCCCATCCCTCCCTTTGTCTTTTCTCCAGCAGCTCAGGCCCTCCCTCAGTGGCCGCTCTGATCCCCAGAGGATTTTCTCCCAGGAGACTGTTTCTCCTGAGTGTCTCCCACACACAACCTACCCCTGCCTGGCAGCCCGATCTCTTTCCCAGGCTCGTACCTGACACCAAGGCTGGAGGAGGGAGGAAAGCCCTGTCCACCCCGTTTTGCTCCCATGGCCTGAGCCTCTTCATTGGCTCCCTCGCGTGGCATGATTTGGAAGATGTGGAGGGGGTCTCAGGTGCTGAGCCTGTATCCTGCCCTGTCATGGTGTCATCCGGGCCTCTGTGAGGTCCTGAAGGGTGTGGTGGTCCACAGGGCCTCTGGTCAGGGCTCATGGTAAGGCTCTCTCTGGGTGTTTAGATATCGCTCTCAGGAGGTGGGGCAGGATCCTTTTGGTCTTTCTGCTCTGAATTTGAGCGTATTGAGACCCTGCTCTACACCATTCTCTGAAATTGTCCCGACACAGAACGTCACTCAGTCCCCACTGTCACGGAGCTTCTAAACTGAGTAAGCCAGTCATGGAGTCAGAATGACCCAGATCATCATGTTGTGTTGATGGTGAGCTATTGGTGGGGGGCAACAGAAAGCAGGACACCTGCTGCTGTGTGCCACTAAAGGTAGCTCCACTCTGACCCCTTCAGCCCTCAGTTTCCCCATTTGTGAACTCTTCATCTCAGTGATGACCACTTTCCTGTGGAGGTGGGAATTAAGAGATACCAAAAAAACTTCCTGCTCCTGCCTCGGGAAGTTCCCAGACAAATGGGCAAATGCAGGCAGTTAAATATATTGCGTGCTGGTGGCCAGGCACATAGGGAGACAGTGAGCAGAGAAGGACCCTCACGGCTGCAGCATTTCCAGCCCCTTGCTGTGTGCCTCACCCACACTGACTCTTAATTTGGAGGATACTTCTGTGCTTTATTGCGCTGCCATGTAGCATTGACCTTTCCAGTTATAAACAGGCCTCCGCCAGCGAGCAATGACTCCTAAGTTGGTGTGTGGGCAGCTGTCCTTTGCCTCTTGGGGCCCAGCAGGGCGTGGGTGCCCCTTGCAGTTCTTGTCTTCCACCCACTGGGGGAAGGTCCTGCTCATCACAACCTTGGTTTTCTTCCTCTCCCGTTTGATCTCAGTGACTCCATCTGTCAGGGAAACGGCCAGAGGTTACTTGGTAGCCTGGTGCCCCACTCCCAAGAGACTTGAATTCCCTGTCTAGGTGAGGGAATTCTGGTCCTGCTGTGCAGAGAGCAGGGAGAGCTGGCTTTGCATCTGGTGCTTACCGGCTGGCCTTGTCATCTGGCCGATTGTTTCCCTTTTAAAATGAGGGTGATCTTGGAAGCATCTTAGGATTGCTGTGCAGCTGAGGGGAGGATGCATCTGAAGCGCTGACTGTAGGTCTGGCCAGTTGGCGTCGTTGCTGACCCTGCCCACTCCCTTCTTTCAGCCGGCACTATGTGGGTTCCCCAGGGCCTGTGAGGACTCCTGATTGAGGCTGTCTTTGCCTCAAGGTGATGATCGTGGAGTGTGGTTTCTTGACCCGGAGTCTTTCCAAGGTGCCCAGTGGAAGCCTTAGGAGCGCTCCTGTTGATGAGGCATTGGTGCCCTGGGGCTGGTCCAGTTCAGCCCAGCTCATCACCCAACACCCTCTGCCTCCACCATTAGAAAGTAGCCTCATGAAGAGTCTTGTCTGGTTTATTGATAATCCCCCAGCACCTAGACTCAGCAAGGAGCAGCTCAGTCTGTCATCAGTGAAGGAAGGAAGGAGACTCTACTAAGTCACAGAACCAGGATGCTGAAATTGCCCTCAAAGTGATCTCAAGTGAAATACAACAGTTGGAATTAAATAGATTAATTCAGAAAACTTTCTGTATACATCGGCAGAGGTTTGGTGGAAAATTCTTCTGTTCATTAGAATTGGAAGGGACAGACCAAAGAAAGAGGGTGACAGTGTATCAAATATTAGTCAGGATTTTTCTTTTTTACTTTAAAGATCACTGATTTAGTTTATGACTTTCATTTCCCTTCCTCAGAGAGGGGGAGGGACTCTTCACCCTCCCACAGTGTGTTGATGGTGAGGTTATTTATTCATTTGGTTAGTGTTTATTTGGCATTCACTTCATAGCTAACTTTGTGCTGGGCACTGAGGATGCAGTGGGCAAACGGGTATGATCCCTGTCCTCCTGGACATCATGGACAGGACATGAGTTCATGTTTTTTGACTCCAAGTTCAGGTTCTTTCTTGTATTCCACATATCACCCTATAGTTGGTTATACCGTTTCAAATGAACCAGTAGTGAGTTCAGTGAGGCTGGTTAAGAAACTGATGCTGTTCTTTGGTTATATTAATAGAAGCAGAGTGTCTAAATCAAAGGAGGTGATTGTTCTGCTGTACTGTGGTCAGACCAGCCCAAAGTGCTATGTTCTGCTCTGAGTTAGGGAGAACTGCTTTTTGGAGCATTCACAGACTAGAACTTCCCCAGAAAAAATGCCTGGCCAGCCCCTTGATATACTGCTGTTGTCCTTACAGCCAGGTGGGCACCACGGCAAGGGCTGAGCCACCCTCATGGAAGGGAGAGGACCCTACCGGATCTACGACCCTGGGGGCAGCGTGCCTCCAGGAGAGGCATCAGCAGCTTTTGAGCGCCTAGTGGAGGAGAATTCCCGGCTGAAGGAAAAAATGCAAGGGATAAAGATGTTAGGTAAAGCCTGCTCCCTCCCTGTGAGCTGCCTTCCCACAGGCTGTGACGCCAGCAGCCCCTGCCCAGTAGGAGAGTATACAGCTGGCCTGTGCCTCTGCCCATCATCCCTCTGTCCCTGCTGCCCAGCATTGGCTTCTGCCCCGCAGGTGCCTCTTCATGTACTTACATAGCATGCATGAAGAATTCCCAGCCCGGCTCCCCACTACTCCACAGGGTGCCAGCGGGGACCAGGAGGGATGCATGAGATGGGGAAGAGGGAGCAGGAAGGCCCAGACTGTGGCCCTGGAGCCAGAAGGCCTGTCTTCCTGGGCATGAGAGGTGGGGAGAGCTGGCCGCCCCGGGGCAGCCAGCACACAGTGCCAGCTGGTAGGAGGGAGCAGAGCTTGCTGGCCACTGGTAGCTGGAGGCCACGAACTGCTCTCCTCCTGGCTTCTGCTCAGGCTATCACACTGCTACCTCCACCTGACTGAATTGTCCCCACATCAGCACCCGGCCCAAGCCATCTCTCCCACTCCTTGCGAGGCCTTTGCCATTTCCCCATGCTCCCGAAACTCTGCCTTCTCCTTGATGCCACCTTCTCTATATTCTCTGATCCCGGGTTTGCGGGTGGGGGACCCAGCTCTCTGATTTTTGAAATGTTTTCTCTCTTGCTTGGCAGGGTGGGAAAGGAGGGGTGGTTTTTCCCCTTCCCCAGCTGCAGGAGAAGGAAGCTGAGTCCTAGTGCTGGGTGGTATTGTCTCGGTCCTGCAGACAGCCCCTGACCTGGGGCTTAGGCTGTGGCTTGCTATGGGGCACCATGGTGGGAGACCCTGGCTTGCATTTTTTTTTTTTTTAAGATACTTGGGATTGAACCCAGGGGCACTTTACCACTGAGCTACATCCTCAGACCTTTTCTTTATTTTTTATTTTGAGACTAGGTCTCACGAAGTTGCTGAGGCTGTCCTTGAACTTGCTGTCCTCCTGTCTCAGCCTCCTGAATCCTTGGGATTATAGGTGCAGAGGAGCGGGGCAGGAGTGCAGTGCCAGGGGCCAGGAGTTTCCCAGCTCCCTTGCACTCCTGCTTCCCTGAGCCTGAGCCTGAGCCTGAGCCTGCTTCCTCTCCCTCGCCTGGTTCTGTTGGTGTCCAGGATGGGGTTTGTCCCACGTGGCCCCCAAAGCAATAGTGGGAGGAAAGCCAGGGTCTGGAGTCTGAAGAGGCAGATTTGCCAGAGCTGAGTAAGTCCTTTCTGCTCCTGCTCCCTGTTTCTCTCCAGGGGAGCTTCTGGAAGAGTCCCAGATGGAAGCATCCCGGCTTCGCCAGAAGGCAGAGGAGCTGGTCAAGGACAACGAGCCGCACCCACCATGTCCCTCCTTGAGCTCCTTTGACCACCTTACTGAACTCACAGGTACGAGAGGAATCCGGGTGCTTCTGCCTTTCCCTGGACCCCAAACTTCCTAGACTTTTCATAGTAAACTCCCCTTTTCATTCTGAAACCCACATCCTCCCCATTTATCCTTGATCACAGACCACCCTCCCATTCATTGTTGCCTAAAGCATCTCTCTGCCCAGGCTCTGTCCCCATCATTCCAGGGCTCATTGTTCTTACAGGCTCTCAGGCCCAATGGGGCTCCTCCCATTTCCCTGACTCAAGTGGAGACCTCTGTCTTAGCGCTCTTCTGTCTAGCGTTGTCCTTGAGGAGCTGGTATCTGGGGTTCTCCCTTCCCCAATCTCTTCAGCCCTGCTGTCTTGATTTTTCCAGGAGAGGACACAAATACTCCGGCACCTCCTGTTGCCCCTGCGTGCCCCAGTGACAAATCAGCGTCAGCCCCCAAACCTCCTTCCAGTGTAAGTTACATTTGGAATTGTGGCTGGAGGTCACCTGACCTCAACGTACCACTGGCAGATAACAGAACAAAAAGAAAGAGGGTTGAGTCATGAGCTGCATTCTGACTTGCTTGGTGATGTTGAGCAAGTCAATCTCAAGCTTTTTGAAGTGTCAGTTTCCCCATTTTGAAATGAAAGTTATAGTTAAAACTATCAGAAAGACCCTGGTATGTCCAAGAAGTTTCTCATTTACTAGGTTGCTCAAAGTTCAGTGTGCATTGACTGCACAGAGCGCGGAAGACAGGCACACGTGACCTGGAACTCGCACTTTTGGGGAGGGCTCAGAAACAATCTCTTGCAGAGTTGGCGTGGGAAGGTTTTCTTGATACTCTAAGACTAGAACGCACCCAAGGGATCATATAGTTTAGCACCTTCATTCTAAAGATAATGTAGGGAGAGAAGGGCCTTTTTCTAGGTCAAACTGGAAAATGTAGAGGAGAAGGGATTTTCCAGGGAAGGACTGGGGTCATGGTGGCTGTGAGACTCAGATGGAAGCTGGGCAGTTTCTCCCACTGTCCTGCCCTATCCCAGGACAAGGGGAAGGCTGAAATAGTCTTTGTAGGCCAGGTTTAATGAGAATCCTAGAGCCACATGCAGGTTCACATGGACCATGGACCTGTCAGTTGGTTGAACAACCAGTGAATTCCATTTGAAATGGCTGAGAGATGTGAAAATATATGGGATTGGTTAGCCACCTTGGATTTGGGTGAATTTGAAAAAGTCTCCGTGTTTGTTGAACCATCTTTGGCACTTTTCTTAGATCAGTCTGCTCTGAGATCTCCTAGACTGGATTGGCAAGGGCAGCACAGGACCTTGTTTGATGGAGGCAATAATACCTCTGTTTATATAACCTGGAAGACCAATCAGACCCAGACCTAGGAGACAGCTCTGGTGCCATAGCAGGATCTGCAGTCTTGGGCCCAGTCCTGTGCTAGTATTAACAATAAACTGTATAACCTCAGTTTCTTCATTTGTCCAAAGGGGATATAACCCTCTGACCTACTTCATGGTTTTTTTTGAGAAATAATGAAGTTCATGGACACGTTTCAGAAGTATAAGACCTTAAAAAAATGTGACCCTGAAATGCTAGCAGTTCAAGGTCAGCTAGTCAAACATCGCTATTTTATGGATGAGGAAACTGGGCCTGGAGGAGTATGGCCCTCAGATCACAGAGGGTAAGGTGTTTATCAGGAGTCCTGCCCTGTGATCTCCCAGGAGCAATGTGTAGCCATCCATGAGTTCAACTGGGCTGGCTCCCTCTGTACACAGTAGGCCACCTGCTTGAGCTAGATGTGAGATGAGATCTTGTCCTTTGTTCTACCTGCTTGTTACTCTCAGTAGCCTGTCTCAGAAGAGAGCTGGGGTGTCTTCTCTTGGGCAAGTTCTAATTCCCTTCTCAACAGGGCACCTCCTCTGAATTTGAAATCGTCCACACCGAAGAACAGAATTCTCCACCAGAAAGCCGCGGCCACATCAGAAACCCAATGGTGAGTGGACGGCCAGGCCCCCTGAGCATGGTCTACTGTTTTCTCTGTCTCAGTCACCTGTCCCTGCGTGAAAGGCATGCTTACCACTCAGATCCCTTGGGCACTCTGGAGTCACTTGGGGACACAGAGGGGCCGTAGCAGGGGGTGCTTCTCGCTCTCATATGCAAATCCCTGAGCCAGTGACTTCCCTGACAGTACACATGGGCATCTGACTGTTGTGAAAACCTGGGCTCTCTGCCAGCCCTGTTGGCCTCTGGGCCACACATTATGACTCAGCCCCTTGGGTCTGTGGGCTCTTAGCCTGTGGGGAAAGAAATGGTCAGGAAGGCCCAGGACCATTTAAGGCAGGTGATTTACCCTCTGTGTAGGCTTCTTCTGGCTCCTCCCAGTGTCCCCTCCTGGGTACATGTTGGAGTCTAACCTTTCAACTTAGACACACAGACCATGCGTGTGTAGTGTATGTACACACACAGACTTATTGGAAAACTATTATAAAAGTCTGAAAAATTCTTCAGAGGCCTTGAATTCCTACCTTCTTCTCCCTCCCCTCCCACTGGGAGTTGTTTTTTTTTTTAATCATTATTGCCAGCAATACATAATCGAACCCTTCACTGTTAGTCTGATCCCTCCTGCTGCTCTTATATGTCATTTCCTACTCAGGACCCCAGCAGGTAGCCATCCAGCATGCCTTCAGTGATGAGAGACTTATTACCACATCAGGCAGCTCTGAGTGTTAGAAAGGATCTCTTTGCTTTGTGGGACCTCATGTCTCTTATCCTGTCCTGTCCCTGAGGACTGTAAGATGCTGGCTGAGGAGGTGAGATCCCCCAGAATCGCAGAGAGTGTTTCACCTTGGACCAGTAACTATATCTCTTTAAGAAGTTTCTCCTTGGCCCTGCACTGTACCTCATCTATGCAAAACAAGACTACCTTCTGCCCTCTGGAAGCTTGAGGGCTAACTGGAGAAATCCAAGGGATTCTAAGTCCTTCATGAGCTTCAAATAGAGCAGCATCGGCCACCTCAGGTCCTGTGTGGAAACAGGCAGCAGAGTTGAGGAGGCAGCATTGTCTCTCATCAGAATACCGTGCTAACATGGAATCAGCAATTGCTGAAAGTACAGTTGTCGCAGGGTTCCAGGAAGCAGGAGGTCTGCGAGGCAGAGCACTGGGTTGCTCCCAGGGAACTTCAGTTGTACTCTTGGCTCTACCATTGGCTCACTGGGTGGCCTTGAACAAGTTCCTTCTCCCTGTGCCTCAGTTTTCCAACTCAAACCCTGAGGTCCTTGTAGCGTTGATGTCATGTGGTTCCATAAATGTCTAGGGGAGGCCTGCTGAAAGAGCCGGTTGGAGGGCAGGCTCGGAGAAAGGTAAGCAAGACTTGTAGAGTCAGAAAGGACACTACCTGATGAAGCCTGGAAAACCAAGGGGCCTGGTGTGAGGTGTCAGGCAGGCAAAGGTGGGAAGGCTGGCCAGATGCCACTGTAGGTGGGACCTGCTCTTAGGGCCTCGGAGACCTGCTCGATGCAGTCAGTGGTAAGGTACCATTGTGTGTCCTTGGGCAAGGTGAGGAAGAGGCATGATTAAGGCAATGTGTGGTAGGAGTGTTCTAGAGCCAGCAGGAGAGTGGGGTTAGACTATCTGGCCCAGTCTGTTCCATTCTTATATACTATACTAGGTTGAGACTCTTTGAAACAAGTCTAAAGCTGTGAGTCCTCACCTATTTTGAATCTTGAGTCCTCTGAGAAGCAGATGACTATGTGGAACATTCCCCAGAAGACACATATGAGTCATGGCTCTCTGGTCTCCCTGAGCTAAGGAAACAGTATATAGAGGGATACCCCTTCTCTGGGACTGCCACTCCTGTGTATTAATTCCTCCTTATCAGAAGCCTGTGAAGAAGGACGGAGCATTCTACAAGGCTTAGAGTGTGGGAGGAAGGTGGCCCTATGCTATTGAGCCAACCAGTGACCTGAGAGTCCTGGGGCCTGCCCTGTGAGTCAGACCCAGATAGGGAACCTGTGTAACTGGAGAATTTCCATGGGCTGAGTTGGGGCCACAGGGGGAAACTGAGTCATGAGGAATGGGGAAGCAGTAGGAGAATGGGCTGACAGTGCCTATTCAGGTTGAGTGAAGAGTATTCCACCCCACCTCCACCAGGAGCTAGGTCCCCTGCCCCATGAGGACAGCAACCTGATGCTGCACCTGCAGCGGCTGGAGACCACCCTGAGTGTGTGTGCTGAGGAGCCCGACCACAGCCAGCTCTTCACCCATCTGGGCCGAATGGCCCTGGAGTTCAACCGGCTGGCTTCCAAGGTGCACAAGAATGAGCAGCGCACCTCCATCCTGCAGGTAAGGCAGGTGAGGGGGAGCCACTTGGGATGGCCAGGTGCACTGCCTACCCTAATGCTTCCCCACCCTCCAGCCCTTCCTGGGACCCTGAGGTGCCTTGGGGAACTCTGTTTCAGCAGATTTGGTTCTTTTTGTTCCGGGTGGTACAGTGGAGTAAGGGAGTTATGGGAAGATATGAAGAAGAGGAAGGAAATGAGGAAATATGAGGTGGGCAATGCAATTGCATGGTTGGGGATACCCTGTGGGCTGGGAATCAGGCAGGCTGGGTGTGGTCCTGCCTTTGTTCTGCACATGCTAGTGGAGGAAGGGAGGGACCAGAGGTCAGCTCAAAGTTCATGTTCTTAACCACCATCCCAACCTACTTTGCTGACTGAATTCTTAAAAGCCTCCCTATTCGGGCATGGTGGTGCATGCCTATCATCTCAGCGACTTGGAGGCTAAGGCAGGAGAATCACAAGTTCAAAAACATCTTTGACACCTTAACAAGGCCCTAAGCAGCTTAATGAGATCCTGCCTCAAAATAAAAAATAAAAATGGGGATTTGGCTCCGTGATAGAACATCCCTGGGTTCAATCTCCAACATACTCTTCCCCCACCCACCCAAAAATAAAGCCTCCCTGTGTTGGGGAAGGGTCAGATTCCCTTGCTAGGCTGGGATTTATGTGGTCCTTGTGTGTATGTGTATGTGTGTATGAACGGACATTTATTCTATTTATTTATATGCAGTGCTGAGAATTGAGCCCAGTGCCTTACACATGCTAGGCAAGTGCTCTACCACTGAGCCACAGCCCTAGCCCAGTCCTTGTTTTTTTTATTGCTTGGCAAGTCACTCATCCTCTCCATCCGCCACTGTCCCTGTCAGTAACATGTGCTTGGAATACTTCCCTCTTGGGACTGCCCTAGTAAATGAGGCAATGTACAGAAAGTACCTAGTACAATGTAAATACTAGAAAAGTGGTGACTGTTAGGATTGGATGATCATGGTCATCTTAGCCTTGAGAGTTTGGACTGAGAAGGATCCATTTGTAAATGGTGACCATTCCCAAGATAGTGAAGCTGAGGCCCCTAGACCTGCTCTGGACATGAGCACCTTTCACTGTGGTGACAGAACCAGTTTTAAAGTCCCTTCTGCTCCTGTAGACCTCCCTCTGTGCCAGTCTCTGATCTTGCTCCTGTCAACAGACATTCAAGTGCCCAATTGATGGGAGAAGGGGAAGTCCACCTTATGTGACTGTGGACAACCCTTGGGTTGACAACAGCAGGAATGTCCAGACTGGGGATGTGGCATGAGGAGAGGAATAGGGGACTGAGGTGCACACAGGACAACCTTCCCCCTTGAGGCTGGAGAAGTAACGGGAGTGGGCTGCACAGGACATACAGGGCCAGACCGAGGGAGGGGAGCTCTTTCCAGTGCCACCAAGGCTTTTTGAGATGTCCAAGCCACGCCTTAGAAAGTGAACCTGGTGCAGCATGTGTGCCAAGATCACTTTGAGCATCCACATTCCAGCTCAAATGGGAATAGATTCTGGCCTCCTAAAAGGATTCCCACTGAACCTCTGTTATCTTTTTATATCAGGGCTCCTGTTTGTTTTCTTTTTAGCTGTTATCATAGTTTGCAATAATTTTATTAGTTGGTTTGATCTTTATCTTTTTTTTTTTTGGCACGGGGCGGGGGGCACTCAACCACTAAGCCACATCTCCAGCCCTATTTTGTATTTTATTTAGAGACAAGATCTCACTGACTTGCTTAGCACCTTGCCATTGCTGAGATCGGCTTTGAACTTGTGATCCTCTTGCCTTAGCCTCCAGAGCCATTGGGATTACAGGTGTGCATCACTGCACCCGGCTCATCTATCTTTTTCTTCAAGTTCTGTCTGCTAGAACGTGAGCTTCATGTGGGGGGCAGGTACCTTAACCATCATATTCACCATTGTATCCCAGTACTTGATACTTAGCACATTTGGTAAATAAATAAGTGAGTGAAAGAATGAACAAAATGAACAAAAAAAAAAACCTCACAGGTGAACTCTCTTAGCCCCTGTGATGGAAAGTGATCCTCTTTTGACCTTTACTGATCTATCCTGGGCCTTTTTGTGCCCAGGACATTTACCAGAGATTCTAAAGTAACAACCTCTATCCTGGAGGGACAGGGCAGAAGGTGAGGCCTCTTTCTGGCCTTTCCTTAGTGAAGAGGAGCAAGATAATTCTGCTCTCTGGAGGCCCAACCCGGGGCTATTTCATCCCTTGTATTTTCGTAGCCTGTGGGCAGAGATAGATTAATTTGGTTCCTCCTAATGTAGCCTTTGATTTGTTTCTTGGTTCATTCAACATTCAAGGCCAGATATGGCACAGAATTCTCTGCTGAGGCATTGGGAAAGCCAGTAACAACTGTTTTCTGTTTCCTCTGCACCCACATTGTTCAGCCACCCTCCAGGGCAAGGCTTTCTTCTCCATTCAGACCTTCCAGGACTCTCCTGCATTAGTCAGAAAGGAAGCGGACAACTCTGGAATCTCCCCAGATATGACAGTTTTCCCTCCTGTTCTGGGTGGCAGGGGTTGTTTCTACTCCACATAGTTCCTTAGAGTCCCAGGCCCCAAGGGTGCACCATTAGAGAATACGAAGCATCCTTGTTAACCCTTGCTGTGGGGAAAGTATTGCACCACAGTCCCCAGCCTGGGAATGGAAGGGAGCAGTTGGAAAATGTCTAGAGAACCAAGGTCCCTGCCCAGCCAAATCCCAGGCTCTCTCCTTGGGCTCTGCCTCTCCCTTCTCTGCTTTTTCAGCACTGAGGAAAGAGATGCCAGATGGAGTGTAATTGCAGTAGTGATTTTTTTTTTCCTCTTTGATTGAACCCCAGGGGCAATACCACTGAGCTACATCCCCTGTCCTTTGTATTTTATTTTGAGACAGGATCTCGCTAAGTTACTTAGGGGTCTAGCTGAATTTCAAAACTTCCATTCTCCTGCCTCCACCTCCCAACTAGCTGGGATCATAGACTTGTGCCACAGTACCTGGCTTCCATTGGTGATTTGTTTATTTATTTACTTACTTGCTTATTTGCTACTGGGAATTGAGTTCAGGGGCACTCTATCATTGATCCATATCTCCACCTCTTTTTATTTTTTATTTTGAAAGCAGGGTCTCACTAAGTTGCTTAGGGCCTCACTAAGTTTCTGAGGCTGGCTTCGAACTTGTAATCCTCCTGCCTCAGCCTCCCAAGTTACTGGGATTACAGGTGTGCACTACAGTGCCCGGCTCCAGTGGTGATTCTTCATAGCAGACAGTTTCTCTCTGTAACATAGAGGTGAATTACCTCGCTCTGGCAAAGTTGTGAGGCATTCACGAGGTACTGCATGGACAAGCACTTAGCCACATAGCTGACATGCAGTAGGTGCTCAGTGAATATTTGTTGAAAGATTCAGCATCTCCATCTGACACTGTTTGAGCACTGCTGGGGGCACCTGCCCCTACCCACTCACCTGGAAGGCTCTGGGCCTGGCCACTCACCACCTTGCCTGGCTCCCAACACAAGTCCTCCCCTGTCATCAGGTGACAGTCCATTCCCAGGACACTTACACTCGGTCTTACTCATCCCTCATAGCAACCCTAAAGGGAGGCAGAGGAGGAGCAGTTGTAGAGGAGGGGACAAATCTCAGAAGTGAAGCGTGAGCCACGGCGTAAGGCTTGACCACTGTGTGTCTCCTAACTGGTGGGCAGTAGGAACAGTGAAGGAAGAGGGGGTGGAGCGCTCTGATGGGGAATGGGCAAGAGGACCGGGAGGCCTGTGACTGATTCTTGGTCAGGGGTCCTCATAGCCTGCTCCTGAGGGAGCGGATGCGTGGAGGACCCTGAAGGGGCCAGCTGGCATGGAAGTGTTTGGGTGAGGCCAAAGAGGATGAGGTGCTGGTACCTGGGCAGCAGGAGCTACTCCCCTGTTTTCCGGTGTGAACCTGCATTTGGGATGTACCCTCTCCTTACCTGGCCTTGCCCACCTGTCTGTCCCACAGACCCTATGTGAACAGCTTCGGAAGGAGAATGAAGCCCTGAAAGCCAAGCTGGACAAGGGCCTGGAACAGCGGGATCAGGCTGCTGAGAGGCTGAGGTAAGTCCAGACCCCTAGAGAAGGAGTGAGGAGTAAGGGGTGGGGCATAGCACCGGTTTCTGGGATGAGGACTCAGGACTCTGGAGGCCTGTTCAGAAGCCCAATCTCTTGGCTCCTTTGGTATTTCTGTCTGGCTCTTCTCATACTTTGGGAAGTGTCTATGTATAGAGTACCTTGAGAAATGCAGAATGTTGATACAAATTGTCCTTCTGCCTTGGGAACTTGTCTCCTCAGCCTGTTGGTTGTCTAGCATGATGTGTGGGGGAGGGCTCAGGACTTTGCTGCCCCCTGCTGGTTGCCATCCTGCACCACTCAGTTTTCCTGAGAACATCAGATCTAATCTGAACTGAGGGTCAGGGGTATTACTAATTTATACTCCAACCCCTCCCTCCTCTGCAAGACAGAGCTGGCCAGTCTTAGGTAAGACATAGGAGTCTTGATTTCACCGAGGCTCTCTGTGACCATGATGTAAAGTGGGCCCAGGATCACACCCAGGGAAACATTGTCCTTAACTGTAAGAGCTCAAAAAAGCTCTTTGCAATCATGTAGGCCAAACCCGTCATTGTGTGAGGAAAGACTGAGGCCCAGAGAGAGGCAAGGGACTTGCTTTAGGTCTCACAATAAGAACCTGGGTCTCCTTGTGCATTCACTAGTGTGGCCACAATTCTTGCCAACACTGTGGTCCTGGGTAACATGAGTGCTGAATCCCATTGAGTACCAGCTGGGCTGAGTACATGCAGGGGAAGTCTGGGTCAGCAAGCCAAGACTTGTCACTGTCTCCCCCCTACCGACCATCCCTTTATTACAATCAATAGGAAGTAATAACTTCTTATTGGGACCAGGCTGTGATAACTAGATGTTGTGCCATTTTGAATGAGCTCATCTTTATTAACTTTTGGATGAACAAGTTATTGCCATGCTGACTCCATCCATGAATCCAAAAACCCAGGCTGGAGGAGTGACTCATGTGTTAGAAGGCAAAAGTACAAGCTGAACAATGTTGGCCAATGCTGAAACCTCAGCCTCTCAGGAAATTGAAGCAGGAGAATCATAGGTTCTAGGCCAGCCTCAGCAACTTAACAAGACCTTGTTTCAAAATAAAAATTAAAAACACAAGTAATGTAGCTCAGTGGTAAAACACTTGCCTAGCATGTGCAAGGTCCTGGGTTCAATCCCCAGTATCGCAAAAATGGAAAGTAGCATTAAAGATAACTTTAAAAATAAATCCAGTGAAGATGAAGAAATGTTAATAGGTGATAGCTAAATACCATTCCCACCAAAGGCTCTGAGTCCTACATCCTGCTCTTTCTGCGTTAACACAGGATATTAGCACATGTTGATGAGGTGCTCAGGACTGATTCAGGCTTTCTCCTGCTCTCCCCAAGACATATGGTAATAACTGGAGAAGGTGGAGCTTTCTTACTAGAATATGACCCAGATTATGCAGTGTTTACATGCATTCTGAAGATATCATGTATACAGCCATGCCAGAATTAGGGAAACCCTGAGGATCAGACTGCCAGCAATGTGGCTTATTGATGCCCCTCAGGGTTCTCCTTTAAGTATGTTTCAGGGTCTTGGTGTGCTTCCCAGGACACCTCTGCAACTCATGTAATAGTAAGTCAGAAAGCCCTATTGACTCTTTGACCTAGTGCTGCTATTGTGACTTCTCTGTTTGCCTCCAACCCAGGGAAGAAAATATGGAGCTTAAGAAGTTGTTGATGAGCAGCAGCAGCAACAAAGAGAGTGCCTGTGGTCAGCCAGGCTCACCAAAGTTGGAGGGTAACAGCAAGAAGGGTATGGCGGGACAACAGCAGGTATGTGGTCAGAATTTCAACAGCAGCCTCAGTTGCTGGTACCCAGCATCCCTTTACCACCTCCAGTGATAGTGAGTTTATTACCTCCTGCACATAGTTCTGCTGGGAGAAAGTTCTAGTTGGTAGATGCAGTTCCATAGCTTGACCTAGCATCCGCCTCCTTGGAGCTTCCACTTTTCAGGTCTTATTCTGCTTCTGCCCCACAGAATGTCTCACTCCCTGGAACACAAGCTAAGAATTGCTGGCATTGCATAGCCCTGTGGCCCCGACAGGCCTTCTCTTCTGACTAACTGCAATTCCTTTGGCCATTGCTTATAGAAGGCCATTGCTTATAGACTCATTGCACTGAGTCTTTGGCTCAGTCTGGGCAATATTCCCCAAACAACGCCAGTTTGTCAAGATCTTTCTTAAAGGGCAGCTCCCAAAAGTCAATTTAACATCCCTGTATTCCAGGCAGAATTAGGGCATTGGGTTGAACAATCTCTGGGGATTCTGTTAAGCTCCACAGAAGCCTCTGAAATGGAGAGAAGAAGGTGCTGGCCACAGGCATGGTTTGATAATGCCACAGAGCTGAACCACTTCTTCCTCTTGCCTCCACTTCTAAGCCTGGTACACAGCCTGGTCCCAAGAACCCCTTGCCCAGTCTTCACCATACCCCTGAGTCCCAACTCTTTCTCAGTGCATTCTTTCCCTTAAGTGGGGTTTAACAGCTACATAGTAACTGAATGTCTTTGACAAACCCTACTCCTATGAAATAGTAGTAATTACCTTAATAATGTAATTCCTCATTATTATGTGGCAATAGAGAGTCAGGACTTTCAAATCCATTATCCCATTTTAGCCTTCTCTCTACACTGAGGTAGGCAGGGCTTGCCACTTTACAGCTGTGGCAAGAGGTTTGAAGAGGTCATGTGTCATTGTGCAGTTCAGATTCCTGTGTCACCTGCTATCAAGCAGGCGAGGGCATGGTCAGGGAAACCCATTGCTAAATGGCCAAGGTCTGCTCACTCCTGGCCTTCTGAATCCCAGCCCATGAAGCCCTTCTCTTGTTCAGTCTGCCTTACCTGCCCTCTTAAGGAGGTGGCTTATGAATTCTCCTGGTCTCTCCTAGGTGCTGAGTCACCTCAGGTATGGAATTCTATCAGCTGGCCTTTCCAAAACCTTTTGTATCATCTTATCTTACCTGACTTATCTTGAAAGGCCAGAGGCTCTTACTGGACTGTCAGAAAGAGGAAGCGACTTGCCCATACACCTAGGACATCTCTGTGCTTGGGATCCAGGGCCTCTGGTCCCATGAGAGGCGTGTATTCCAGGGAGGTGTGAAGCCTGTGCCCTGGCGCTGCATATGGGTGGAATTCTGGCTCCAACTCAGGCCAGCACTGTGACCCTGGACAAGTTACATATACACTCTGGGCTTCAGTTTCCTCCTGTATAAAATGGAGATGTAACACCTCCCACAAGGAATTGTTGGGAAGATTTAGTGATGCGAATGGACATGAGGTGGTTTATTGGAGTAAATAGTAAGCATTAGCTATTGCTCTTTTTCTAATATTTTTAAATATTTTCTAATATTTTTTAATATTTTTCTAATTTTTTCTGATATTTTCTAATATTTGGTTGTTGATAGACCTTTATTTTACTTATGTGGTGCTGAAAATTGAACCCAGTGCCTCACACATGCTAGGCAAGTGCTCTACCACTGAGCCACAACCCCAGCCCCAGCTATTGCTTTTAATGGCACATTTGTGGTAGCAGCCAGGTCTGCTAACCCTACAGTTCTTTCTTACTCTTCCACATAGATTGCTCTCGGTAGAGATTCAGGGCATGCCATCCAGGAGCCCGGCATTCTCCTGCTTCTTTCTTTCCCAGTAGCCATCAACCATGACAGATAAGCATAGCTCCCTTCCAGGAGATAGCAGGTTCCAAGAGTGTGACCTGTCTCCCACTTCTCAAAGGAGAAGAGCTCTCTTACCTGGAGAGGGCTCTCTGCTCCCTGCCTCGCTTCTGCTGCCATAGTGCTCTTACAGGCCTTAGCCTGTAGGGGGCACTTGAACCTCACAAGCCTGGGAGAGCATGGAGGTGAATTGGAAGGCAGGGAATAAAGAGAATATAAAAACAGAATATGACTCCAGGACAAATTGAAGTCAGAGAGTGGACTCAAACATCAGAGGTCCATATGGGGCCTGCATAGACCATCGCCTGTTAATCTCATATTAAGGGCGAGAGGACCAGGTCTTGACCTACCTCATAGAAGGGCTTGGAGATAGAGCCAGTGTTCAAGTTCTACACTCATTATTCTTTGGTTTCACCTAATACTTTTTATTTACTGATTTTTATTTATTTTTTTTAAGTTTTTATTTATTTATTTTTAAATCTAGCAGTTCTTTCTTTTTGAGAGAGAATTTTTAATATTTATTTTCTAGTTATTGGTGGACACAACATCTTTGTCTGTATGTGGTGCTGAGGATCGAACCCGGGCCACAGGCATGCCATGAAAGTGCGCTACCGCTTAAGCCACATCCCCAGCCCCATACTGATTTTTGTTTTAAAAACTTTTCATTTTGAGATAACTTTGTACAACAAAAAATGAAACAATCCAGAGTTCAGTTCTCACATCCCCTTCCTCTAGCTTCCCCTAATGTTAACATCTTAAATAACCATGGTTCAGTTACCAAAACTAGGAATTAACCACAGTATCATGCTATTAACTACACTGCAGACTTTATTCAGATATCTCTAGTCTTTCATTCGTGTCTTGATTTGTTCTGGGATTTAATCCAGGATCCCACATTGCATTATATTGTCAGGGAGGTATGAAGGAGGCCAGTCTTCTTGGTCTCCTCCAGTTTGTGACAGTTCTCATCTGATCCTCATTTTTCATGCCCTTGACACTTTTGAGCTATACTGGCTACTTGTTTTGTAGAATGATCCTCAACTTGGGTTTACCTAATGTTTTCCAGAGATTAGATTGCAGTTACAGATTTGGCAAGAGTCTCACAGAAGTAACATTCTGAGTACACAAGTGAAGTTTGCTGGCCCCTTCTCAGTACCTCATCTTAGGGTTCATGATGTCAGAATATGTTACTACTGCTAATCTTGATCACTTGGCAAAGGTGCTACTGTCAAGTTGCACTATGATAAAAGTGACTCATAAAAGTAATCAACAACTATTTTTGAGGAGAAACTTTGAGACTATGCAAACACCCTGTTTCTCCTTAACTTTACTGATTAGCACTTACCTAACACATGTGAGGTACTCACTGTTGGATCTCTTCTGCAGTATGTATTACTATAGCTTTTTTTTTTTTTTTT